CTGGAGCTGTCTCCTTTCTTAGCTGAAGTACATGATCCTTTAAATAAAAAAAAAACAAGAAACCATGTTGAAATGTTTTTGTATTAACTAAGCTAGTGTACTGAATAGAAAAAAAAATCAGTAGAACAGTCAAACTGTTGTGTTGTTTTTATAAGACCTCATCAAAGATTGTCTTTGAATTATTCCGAGGTTGAAACATTTATTGAGAAAGAAATCTTGGAAAAGTGATTATGTTGTCTTGGGAATTCTGGGAGATGTAATCCAAAAAGGTAACTTTTCCAGCTTCTGAGCATATTATCATATGAACATTCATTTGAGTTAGACGTGCAATTGGTAAATTATCAGTTCAATAAAACCTCTTATAGGATAGTTCTGCTGTTACGTGGGAAGCTATTGTGGTTTTCTATGTAATTCCAGCTTGTGTGCCACAGCTAAAAATATCCCTTGTTTTTAAGAACACAGTGTCCTTATATAATATTTAAAGTACTAAAATAATATTCTGTCGTTTTCTTTGATGTCTTTTGGCTTTTTGATAGTTCTCACTAATGGACAAAATTAGTAAATGGTGTAATGACTACTTTTGGTGCTCTGATAAGCATTGACGTAAACAGATATTTATGTGATATTTATGTGATATATGTATGATTTAATTACGGAGTGGACTATGAACAAAACTATTCCTAAAATCCACATGCCAAGGAGCTCCCAGTAAATCAGTGGAACGCAAGATATTGCACTGCAGTCATGACATATATTTTAGTGTAGGTTAATAGCACTGGTAGTGCTATTCTCTTGACAAGCAAATGCTGGTGGAATAGCTGGAGTGCAGTGGATTTATGGACAACATGTGGGTGGCATAGGGAACATACCTGGTGAGATTGCTATTTTATACCAGGCAAAGGCCTGTAACAAGAAATTTCCATCCCTTGACCCAGTGGGAAGGGCTTAACACCCTGTTCTGCACATGGATTGTTCTGCCCATGTCTCTATGACAGAGCATAAGATATCAGGTCACTTGGCAGCTAGTTACACCAGACTTCCACCAATATGTATACCTTATGCAGGGAGGTTATAATACAGATGGCAGGGGACATGTCAGGGATCTATTTGGCTTCATTTGTTAATACAAAACAGGAACCATGAACCTGTAACCCAATCATTTTTGGACACCACTGTCAAAGCTGGCATGACTGGATGGCAACTCCATACCAATGTATTTCTCTGTCAGGACATCCTCCATCCAAGTGCTTTATCTCTCTGATGCTTTTAATAAACATTGTGACATTGCCACATTTTTGTTTCTTTGTTGATAGGATGCAACAAATGTAGTGTTATGTAGTATTACGTGTTGTTTCAGGACAGGGATTTAGCATGGGGGGAATAGCACTTTGATGGATCAGGAGCAGTGGCCCTCTTTTTCTACTCACAGAGTTTTTATGAACAGTGGGAGAGCAGACCTTTCAGGAGACACAAATGGATTGGATGCTGCAGCCAACCTATATGTTTTGCTGAGTTTTGAATTTCTAGTTGAATTTCTCTAGCTGTGCAGCAGAAGTGCAGGAGTTCACACAGCAGAATAACTTCATGTTCCCCAGTTTAGTCCACCCCTTCTTCTCATCAACTGACACTTATAGCCTCAATAACTTTGTGACATTAATAGCTGAAAGAATAAAATGTTTCATTTACTTACCGTTGAACAGATCTGCAGCGAACTGAGCAAACATGACTAATTTTCAGCAACAGGCCTCAACACTTACTGACTCCTTCTAAAAGACTAAAAGAGAGGGGGAAAGAGACAGAACAGAGAGGTGTGGCTTTCTTTGATTTTAGAGGCAGGAGGGAACTATTGGTTAACAGTCACCCCAGCCCGGAAAGGTCCCTTCCAGCCAAACCTACTAAAGGCAGTATGTGATGCTGCGATAACTCCCACAATATGAGGCAGTCCGTTTGGGAGTTGAGGAAAAGTGGGGTGAATTGGGGGCACACAATGGATCTGGCTTTAATGTTACTTAGCAGAGCCATCTAATCAGGCAAAATAACAGGGTAGATGCAGGAGGGCATTTAATACCTCTCCTCGTTTGCTCAGACCAAATGTAAGCGGTGTCTCTCTACCTTTCCTAATGTGTACACTCAGACCTAGAACCCCTGCATGTAAAATACTGACTCTTCTGCCTGGCTCAGGCTTCTACTGCAGCCCCCATGCTCCTTGCTTCTGTAGGTATCCAGGCTTGGAGTGCAACAGAAGATAAATGTCTCCTTATATGTTTTATTTAAAGCTGAACTTAAATTCTTACCTCATAGGCCCATTGTCAGATTGTGAGACAAAAGTACCGTTATTAAACAAGCTTTCTGAGACCAGGAAATAGTCTTAAAATGTTTGCCTCTTGGAGAGGGGTTTCCTTAACAAGTCGTAGAATGGTTTGTACGGGTACATTTTTGGGTAGCAATTTGATCAACTGCTGCTTATGACAAAAGGGTTCCCAATCAGCATCTCAGCAGGCAGTCACATGCCTTCTCATTGTGTTGGAGATGACATTTCATGGGAACATAGTGTCATTTCAGAGGCATTGTGGACAAATAAATGGCAGTCCCCATAAAAATGATGTATGGCAGTATGTTCTACAGGGACTTAATTTTTTACTCATTCTGCCTCTAAGCAACAGTGAACCAATTTATTATAGAGCAAATGTGTGTACATGCGCGCACACACAAAGCTGGTCTGTGATTTGTTAACCCCTTTCAGGAGGAATCATGCTGGGTGTCCTCAACACAGTTTCAAACAATTTCCGCATATTTTTAAAGCAAAGTGAAATATATTTGAAAATTTGGTCCTGTGAATATGCATCTCTTGCATCAGCCCCCTATCTTACAAGAGCACCACAAGAGGCTGGAGATGCTACACCAGCTCTGTAGTTGCCTTTTTGGCTTTTATGACTTAGTAAAAGTCTTCTTCTCGTGTGAATTTTCAGCCCTTTTAAAAGGAGGATTGAGGCCCTGTTGAGATCTTAAAGCATGCATTCTTCACATATTTTTAAAGTTAATATAGTTTTTAATGTTTACCTGCATCTAATTATTCAATTGTATTTTAATTTGCATGTAATTTAATTGTTTTTTAATGTTCAACTTATTATGTTTTTAATTCTATTCTGTTAATATTGTGAGCCGCTTGGGCTTCCCTTATCAGGAGAAAGGTGGCCTATAAAACAAACAAGCAAATAAGATAAGGGAGAATTGCTGGCCCCACTTCTCTGTCATCTCTCTCATCACAAAGCAGAAGTTTGAAGAGGAGGAGGAGGCTGTATCCACCTAGGCCCTCCGCGTGAACCAGAATCCCATTTTGGGGGAGTTTTGGCTCCCATGAAGACCATGCCCATATAAAGACAGCAGCCTCTCCTCTTCAGATGGCTGCTTTTACATGTTCCAAGTGACAATGGAGGGGGGGGGGAGATAATGGGGAGAGCTCCCGAATGGGACTTGTGTGGGCTTCTCTACAAGCATCCTGGATCAGGAGCTCTGTCAGTACTCTGTTGAGTATCTTCTCCTTCCTCTTTCATGTTGTGCTGATAATTCATTTATTTAAAATATTTTTACCTGCGTTTCTTCATAAAAAGAACTCGAGACAGCTTACATCATTGGAAGACAATATTTAAATATACACATGCTAAAAAGAATCAAACAAATTCCACACTAAAAATGGTAAATACAACCAACACCAAAAAACACATTCAAAGCATTAAGAAACAACAATCCATTTAAAATCTCCACTCAGGCAGCCAGTCACTCAGGGAAAGCTTGTCTGAAGACAAAGGTCTTTGCTTGCTTATGGAAGGATAGCAAAGATGGGGCCAAACCAGCCTCCTGTGGGAGAGAATTCCAGAGTCAGGGAGCAGCAACAGAGAAGGCCCTCTGCTGTGTCCCCATCAGGTGCACCAGTGAAGGTGGTGGAACCAAGGGAAAGGCCTCTCCTGATGACCTTAACACTCAGGCAGGGTCATAAAGGGAGACTGGGATAACTTGGACCCAAGCCATTTAGCACTTTATTGGTTAAAACCAGCACTTTGAATTGTGCCCAGAAATGCTTCAGCTCTAAGTAGAGAATTATGTGATCCCTGTGAATAGCCCCTGTTGCCAATCTGGCTGCTGCATTCTGAAGCTTCCAAACACTTTTGAGAGACAGCCCCATGTAGAGCATGTTACAATAATCCGTAAAACAATGGTTATGATGACTATAAAGGGATATTTATATTCTTGCCTGTAGGGATGCCTGGGCACTGGCAATAGGAATATAATTGCTGGCTGAGCCATGGGAGCTAAAAAGAATGGGAAACACTGACATCTTATGTTTGTTGTGCTGCAGGTTGGTGTGCTGTGGCTACATATTCAGACATTACATTAGTTCCCTCTGAATGTAGGAATTCTTTTGTGGCACAAACTGTAATCAGGTCATTTTCATGGAGGACCAGCTGAGTGAACACTAAGCTGTCTGACGTTGGGTTGGTACCTAAAGAAGTTGGAAATTAAGCATCTTAAAGTACCTTTTTTTTCTTATCTAATTTATGCCAGCATGGGCTGGATCTAATGCAGTGTGGCTCCTCTGTTACCCATCCCTTCTCTGTCCCTTTTTTGGCCAGTCTACTGGATCTTAGCAAGAAGAGGAATTCTGCTGGCAGATGCCTGAGAGAGAAGAAAATGATCCTGCCTGTAGAAGGGGATTTATATGTCCGTTTATTTCTCTCTCTCTCTCTCTCTCTCTCTCTCTCTCTCTCTCTCTCTCTCTCTCTCTCTCTCTCTCTCTCTCTCTCTCTCTCTCTCTCTCTCTCTCTCTCTCTCTCTCTCACACACACACACACACACCCATCACATCTTTTGAGTTAGGATTGCATTGACAGTCTCTTATTGGTGAGTACTAGCGGAGTTTTTTGATATGCTGGAGGCATATCAGCTGTTTTCCTCCAGTACTGGTATTCATCCAATTGTATATTTTCCTCCTCCTGTTCTAGGCTGAATACCTACTGGGCATAGCAACTGTTCTGTTGTAGCTACAGGATAATGGGAAAATTAGATTCCTCTGTAAATTATGGACAGAATTTTCTTTCTGGGAAAATCCGGTTTACAATGCTAAATCATGGGAGTGCATGGAGGCATTCCACAAGCTTGTGAAGAAATTATTATTGCTGCTTATCCAGCCATGTGACATTGCTTTAAAAGTGAATCCAAGGAATAACTTGCTGATCAATATCAGGTGTGCCCCTTGCAGCAAAGTGGTAAGACATGTTTCTTGTAATAATACTTCTTGAGAATTTGGCTTATTTTCTTATGTGCGTTTATATGGGATAATGTCTATAAGATAATGTGTGTAAGAGAATGTTCCAAAGAATATTTTTATATACAGATGGAAAATTGAGTCTTGCTACCAGTAAAGCACACCACATTTTGTGTGTTTCTCTCTTTCTCTCTGTTGTAAAGTCAGAATCTGTAACACAGGGAAGAGGGGACCTGGGATTTGTAGAATGCATCCCGTTCTTTTCTTTACATTTACAATGTTGCTGCAGCCAAATATGCAGTGCATTGTTGAATGCTTGTAATTTTGTGAAGCACTGAAAGTTGGAAGCTTGTTTGTAAGTTAGAAGCAAAAAAAGCAAAGCGCGCTGCTTATATACCGCCCCGTAGTGCTAGAAGCACTCTCTGGGCTGTTTGCAATGTAATTATGCAGGCTACACATTGCCCCCCCCCCCTGAGCTGGGTACTCATTTTACTGACCTCAGAAGGATAGAAGGCTGAGTTAACCTTGAGCCAGCTACCTAGAACTGAACCCTGGTTTGTGAGCACAGTTTTGGCTGCAGTACAGCAGTTTAACCACTGTACCAAAATACTTCATACATCATAGACAGAACTGTGTCACTTGCCTTGCCTTGTATATTCATAGTGGGTGACTAAGGCACATGAGTCCCTGCTTTGCCTTGTTTGGTTCTGAAACTTGCTGTTACAAGATTATTTACACAGGGATACTAGTACAGATTACTTGTCAGTTGCCTTTGTGTGGTTGTGTTTCATGACAGACCTGTTTTCTTTCTCTTAAATGATTCCACATGTGTAAAAACAAAATGTAGGGTTGTTTCTAATTGTCTGTTCTGCTGTTCTCCACTGATGGAATGAATGTCTTCCCCTGAAATCTCCCCGCCATCTCCCATTTTGCTGGTAGCTGAAGGCAATAACATGTAACGTTTGTGTTCCAGAGCTTGGACTACAACCCCCAGAATCCTCAAGTCAACACGGCTACTGTCCATGCTGGCTCAGCTTGGAGCTGTAGTACATGGATGTTACTTTGCAAAGCTCTGCTCTGTTCTGAGCCTCCAGCTAGGCACTGGATAACATGTTCCACCATAAAAATAATGTTTCTTACACATAATGTGTGTGGATTTCAAGCTAATTGAACAATGTTGTTTTAATTTGCAGTATTCAGTAACTTCCCTCAAGACTATCCCAGAATTACGCAGGAAGTGTGAGTCTCAAAATGAAGACAGAACAGGTATTTTGTGTTTTTTTTCTGAATGTTCTGCATTCTTTGCTTCCATAGGTTCTTTTGGTTAAAGTAGACATCACAAACAATTTGGTTTTTTAACGCTGTTTTTCTTCTTTTAAACTTGTTTGTGTGATAGCCACCCGTTTCTCCCCCCCCTTTCGCCTCCCTTCCCCCCTGCTTTTTTCTCTTTAAGATGTTAGGTCATTAGCAGCAGCAATAACAAAAAGTTCCATAAAAGGATTTGGCGATATACAGATAAACACAGGGTTTAATCTCAGCAGCTCCACACCACAGTGTATGCAACAATTTACTGAAAAACCCGAGAAACCATTAGTGACAAGACATAATGATGTAGGCGCCAATGAAAAAATGTTGGATACGTTTACTACCCATATGGTCATGACCAGTTTGAGGCATGATGTTTTGCCAAATTCTGAAACCCTATCAAGGATGCTACAAGATAGAATCTCTTCTCAGGCATACTGTAACAGTTAAGATGAAAGCAAAGTTTTTGAGTTTAATAGTGTATACTAAATGAAGAGTCATGGCATACAGATGAGAACCAGCTGGAGACCTTTTTCCCCCAATGACAAAAAGTGCATTCAGTGTTGTTTTCCACTTTATAAATCAGATTAAGGCTCTTTTGTTTCTGTTTTCAGCATGGAGCAAATTGTATTGGTGAGAGTAACATATCTGAATTGCACTTTGAAGACTTCATTATGTTTCACATCAAATGTTGCTTTCACTGATACTTTTAAATCTATACTGTTGAGAGTAGAAATTTGAAATCTTAATTTCCAGGACGATTTTTAAAAGTATGTTGGGTTTCATTTCTTTGTCATCTTTCATATAACAGAAAATTACCTCTGCTGGTAACTGAATTGCGACATTTCCTTGCCACAATCATCAATAACTAAATCATTGCATCCACTTACTCAATCATAGATGTTGAATAAAAGAAAACAATATCTAACTCTCTTCTCATTTTTTGTAACAATGCCTAACTCTCTTCTCATTTCTGTCTTGAGCCTTTGCAGCTGATGCTTTACATTGAGCAATATTAGGAGAAAGCATTGTTTTGACACATCATTATATAAGTGAATAAGCAAAAGATACTGGGAACAAAACCAGTGTCAGTATTGTAGCAATTCTTTCTGTATTTGACAGCCCTGATTTAATGAAAGAGTTCAATTGGTTTAAAAGAAAGCAAGGAAACACTGTAACATGCATTTAAGTTAAACATAGACACTTATAGCAAAAATCCAATGCATAGTTTTATTTTAAACAGAATTTAAGCTTAGTTGAGATACAGTGGATTGGGGCCAAAGGGTGAAGATGAGATGGGGAAACATCTTTCACTTCGATTGAAATGTCTCTGAAATAAAGCCATGTGATTTCCTAAATTATCAGGAAATTATTTGGCTCACGTCTGAACCAATTCAAATTTAGCCTGTCCTAGCTCATCCCTCCCCCCCCCTCCCGGTTATTCTCTCTGCTGAATCTCTCCCCTCCACAGAAATTCTAACTAACCTGGTTTGCGCAGGTAAGTAGTACCATGCTAATGGATAATAAT